AATGGTGATGATAACGAAAGTGCAACAAGGCCCGTAAGCTCAAGGTACTTATGAAATGAAAGTTTTGTGCCAAGCATGCCAGACATCAAGAATGGCAACGAGATGAGATGATCCGTCAGGGGTAAGGTTTCTGCCCCTTGCTACGTCAGACACAAAGGAATGACGTAGCACGAAATGAGATGGAAGATGAACGAGGCGCAGACCGACGCAGGTACGTTACCTGAGGTGTGAGGGAGAGCTTCGTTGGGCGGAGCCCCCTCACACCCCCTCCGCCCCCCTGCATGTGTAAGTCGACGCGTGGGCAGCGGATCCTGACAACCTGCAGAATCGACACCTACCCGAGTCACTTGTCCAAGCCCAAACGCAGCTTGCCGCAGGCACAGCGGCACTGGATGGAGATCACCACCTCTTTGCCAGTTCTCGATTGGTACGAGCAAACATCCGAGAACGATCTGCAGCAGCTCCGACGCAAGTTAGCGTTCACAGCATGGCACATCTTGGTGCTCCACCATAACCAGCTCATGTGTATGTATGTCATGCCGAGTCTTCCGTTGCAAGCCACCCCTTTCCCTGTCGAAGTGCTGGGAGGTATTGGGGCCTGGATTATCCACCTCTCACGGCCTTCCACTCCTGGTTGCTCGGGATTCTGGCCAGCACTTTCGCTTCGGGAGAGGGCTGTTGTTGCCAAAATTCAACTATGGGCTTTGGACTAGTTGCCGGAATGCCGCGAAGGTTCAGTCAGTTTACTAGAAGGCACTAGCACTCCCGAGATTGCAAACAACTGAGGAAGCTGGGACGCTTGGTCGACCCTGCCTGCTTTACACTGCATACCAGCCGTGGCTACGAAGGCATGAGTTGCAAGGCATGGTGGACCAAGTTTTAGACTTAGACACGCTCCACGCATTTGGAGTCCTTCTGTGTCGAGGTGTGTACTTAGGCCGTGTCATGCGCAACCTTGACTACCCCACTCGTGTGCAGGCGTTCTTGCGTATCTCGGTGATCGTGTCAGACCTTTTCACTTATCTACCCGGCAACTTGTCTGTGGAGAGAGCTGATCGCAGCTGGTGCTTGGAAGCGAGACTCCGGCTTGGCATTCCCTCCACTGATGTATGTTACTCCGCGCCACCTAGATCCCAGGAGCACAACTCGCCAAATCATCAAATATGCAAGAGCTTGACGTTGAGCTGGAAACCATTTCGATTCGAATCATCTTTCTAAAGATACCGCCGCAACGCCGTAGATAACGAGATTTCCACTGTTTGCAACGATTGCCGTTAAGCCTTCGTGGGAACTGAGCTGCTCCAGTAAGTACTCGGCCGGCAAAGCTAGCGTCATCGTAGACTTAACATACGCCGTGCTTTCCCTCGTGAAGCTCAGAGAGTCGACTCAAGTGCAAGCTGCTTTTTGCAACAGTTTCCATGCTGTGTTGACACTGCTCATGATCCCACTTTTTTCATGACTTCAGTCAAGCTAAGGGCTGCTGACGTGTCTTAAGGACATTCATTCCTTGAACACGCCATAGACCGAAAGATGCTGCTCCGCCTGAAAACACGCCCCATGTTGGGCCTTGGGCCGAGGTGTCTTCGTTGCCAGCTGGGGGTTTGGTGCCAAGGATTGACGGCAAGGTTGGAATACTCCAGGCGACAGATGAACTTTGACAGGACCCGGCGCTACGTTCTTCAACTCTGTTGCTGCTGTGGCTGCTGCCGCCCCTGGTGCGGCGGGGTTCGGAAGCGGGTTTAGCTCCTTTCGGATTTGCGTAGTCAAAGGTCCGTAGAAATTTCGCAAGTCAGACTAGGATACAGGTGCCTAGTACAGGCTTTGAACGTGGCACATGCGACTGCAACATGAGAAGGTTTTGATTGATCACGCCCACTTCCAGCACCCTGACTGCATCAATCAAGACTGCACGTTCGCAAGATGCGTGCCCATGATGGACGTGTGCCGCAGAACCCAGTCACAGAAGCCAAAGGTACAATGGCGTTTGCTTGGGCCTCTGCCTTGCAGCTGCTGGCTGCGTGGCCCGCGGCCGCACGGCGCTTGCCAGCGTTCCCCGGAGTTTTCAAAGGCGTTGGATGTGCTAAAGATATGCCTTTCCAAGCATCCGAAGCATCCGGAGGAATGGTGGTGAAGACTCAGTCTGTGGTGCATAACTAGTTCTCTAACGAGTTTCCTAGGTCGGGGGGACAGTGCTAGAGTAGGAGCCAGCGTCGACCCAGCCGAGTGCCGAGGTTCTATTCACATCTGGGTTGCTGTTCAAGCAGATCGCGCTTTACTATGCCCTCAGCTGCAATTGTGTTGGATTGCCTAGCAAAGTTCCTTGTTTCGAGCTTTGGGCTTGATCTTCGCTTCGGGTGCTCGACCCGACGACGCCAAGTAACTAGTGCCGAGTAGCTACCAATGTTAAAGTAGTCTGATTCCGCCTCCCCTCTCGGTGTACGGAAGTTTAGGATCCCGGAAGACCTAGAGTCTAGAGACTTTGTCGGAAGCATGGCTCTATAGTCTATAGTCTTGCAAGAGTTCAGAGTGCTTCCTGGGCCACGGATCAAAGCAGAGGACTTCCACCCGAAGCATCCGAAGCCATGCTGGCCGGTTGACTTGAAATTCGTGTTGGACTGACGCAGCGCTGGGCTGAGCACATGCCTCTCTGAACTTCAGGCGCCGGCCTTCTTTTTTGGCATTCTCGGTATTTGCCTCTGGCGACCGCCCGTGGGGATCTTCATGGCATCGCAACGTGTAGTTGCCACGGGCCTCGTCGTCCTGTCTTCAGCTTCGCTGCTGCTGGCGCCGTGGCTGCTGTCTGGGCATCCGTTTGCCGCCTCATGTCTGAAAAGGAAGGCGAGTGCTCGTGTCTTCCCGGACTACTTCCCGGTTTGTGACTTTTGTACGGCCTAAGGTAGTGCTGCAGGTCTTGCACCGGATGTTTCCCTTTGCGCGAGGGCTTTACGAGGACAAAGTTGCCAACTTTTGGTGTTCCATCTCGGTTGAAGCTCGGATGCAGGAGACAGCTCCGCACATGCAGACTGACAAGTGGCAAGTGGCAATCGTGTAAGGGTTTCCAGCTCAGGTCTTGAAGGTACATCGCCTTTTGCCTGCAGCCCACATTCCGCGCCTCTGTGCCGCTGCCACGCTGCTGGCGCTGCTGCTGCTCGGACCTAGGAGCCACTCCACCACTTGCGAGACGGAGTGAGGAGCCTTTGTGTCCTGCTCTTGTCCTGAGATCAGTCGATGATGCACCTGAACTCAGTCCTTCAGCGCTCTGCTCTCTGCGTCCACGGGCTGGGCCAGGAGGGAACAGGGTCGGCATTTCTGTTTCTGTTGCTGTGGTGGACTGTCGTGCCACAGCTCACGTTTTGTGACACGGGGTGGTGCGCGTCAAGCATGCATGCAACTAAATTCCGGAGTGAAAGTGGGCTTGGCCAGCCAACATGGCTTGGCTGAGGAGTCTTTCGGATGGAAAGGCTGCGCGAGCTCAGATAGCATTGGGAATCGCAGTGGGCATGTGTGGCCCAAACGGCGCGGAGGGCGTTTCGGGCCGCCCTGTTGCCATTGCCCCTTGTGTACGGCTTTAGAAACTGCCCTGGCAGGCGCCTGTATGTGTCGGACCTCGTCCAAAGTCCCTGTAGAGCCCATGAGGAGACAAGTCGGCGAGCGCGCTTGAGATGTAATTGGATTTGGAGCACGTCCGCATAGCGAAGGAAATGCAGCAGGGGCATGTTTCGCTAATGGCGTGGTGTCTGGCGGGACTGAAGACCCGGTGGGTGCATGCTAAATGCGCATGGAGGTGCTTTCGGAGCGGGAAAGAGCCTTGGCAAAGGTAGCAGGAATACCGGCCATGCTCGCCGGAACTTCTGTGGAGGGTGCTGCCCTGACACGGCGCATGCTGGAGACTTTTCGCTGCAGCTTTAACTTGGGCTGCAAAGGCCCATTGCGGGCTCTGGCGAAAAAAGGGTTTTCCCCTTTAAAGCAAGATATTCCTCTGCTCCTGGAGGCGATTCGAGCCCTCAGTGTCGGCATGGTAATTACCCAGCTCCTTACGGGAGACGCCGCCAGTCGTGACAGGATCCTTTGCCGCTGCCTTGTTCACCTCCTCTCTGTCCTTCTTCCTCTTCGCCTTCCAGGCTTGGCTTTCGGAGTTTTCGGAGCACCGCTTCACCAGGTGTGACTGTGCAAAGGTGCACGAGAAGGGCATCCTCTTCGCCGCGACGGCCGCGGCTCTGCTGCCCATGGCAATGCCGGCGAGGCATGTGGCATTGGCAGTCTTGGCAGCGCGGCACTTCCAGCTCGTGGCCCTCTTCTCCATGCGTCTAGGCAGGGAACACGTGGCCTAGGCTCCTGTTGGACCTGAGCTGTGCTGTCACGCTAGCCCGGAGAGCTTGAGGTATCCCCTGATGGTCAAGGACTTGCTTGTCGTCCCTTACGCGCTGGCATGTTTGTCGCTGGTCGCCTTCTGTGAGATGGCAGCTTATCAGGCGAGTGGAGACCAGACCCAGTCATAACTGCTTTTGCTGGTCGCCCTGGAGGTGCCTTGTGCAAGAAGCAGGCTGTTGCTGAGGCCAGGAGTGCCAGAGTTCACATGCGTCTCGCGTCGCAGTCTCAGTCAAGATTCAAGCGAGGGCCTCGTACCTGGTGGGCCTCCTCCTCCATGGCATCCATGCCTTTGCACCGGCTCCGGCACGGTACCCGGACCTCTGGACGCTGCTGATCACCAGCGCCAGCTGCAGCTACCGTGGTTGCAGCAAGTGCCAGTTTGCTAGTCGCCGCTGTTGTTCTTGCCGTTGGGTCAGGGGAAGTCACTGGAGAGACCGAGTTTAGACTCTTAGACTGCCTCGTGTTGCTTGGCCTCCGCGCCTGAGAGTCTTCTACGGGCACCTGTCCGACACTGTTTGATACGTAAGCGTTGTTTGTCGTGCTCGGTGCTCTTGAACAGTTCGCCAGCCTGTTGGGGCAAGGCTACTTTGTGTGCGCTCTCGTTGTGGTGAGTGTGGCTCAGATGAGGGGCCTCTTTAGTGCCGAAGCAGACACTGCCAAGCAGAAAGAGCAGTGACAAAAGGGCTAACAGTTTTTGCGAGCACTGCCCTTCCCCCGCCAAGACCTGTGCCCAACCCTGCTGTGTTGATTGCTTTCATCCTGCAGGAGCGATCTGTTCGAACAGCGGTGAGCACGTTCGGGGCCTCAGGATTCTTGGTCGAGGAGCTTGTCAGCCGGTGAGAAACTGCAGGTAGTCAGTCTGCTTTCTCCGACTTGTCGCCTTGTCCGGTCACACAATCCCCCCCTCCCCTCCGTCAAGATGTCTTCAAGATGCCAACGTCTGTGAGAGCCAGGCTCGGTCTGGATTTGAACCCCGCCAAGCTTTTCAGCTTTCTGCGGAGCCCCTCATCCCAGGCCTGTCCGGCAATGAACCCTAGTCCCAAAGCCCCAAGCAGTCAAGAGCGCAAGGCGTCCTCTTCTGAAAGCAAGCAAGCTGGACTCTGTGAAAGTTTCTCGCTCCTAGATATTCTTTGTTAAGCCAGGAGGGTGTGACCTTCCAAGAGTTTGACCCTGAAGCATGGTCCATGCCTCGGCACGAGAATGGGGTGGCAGGACACAAGTGGTCAAGGACAGCTTGCAGCTGAAGTGGCTTGTAATCCTGGGCTGAGGAAAAAATACATGTCCGGCGACTACAGCAACTTGGTCCTCCCAGACAGCCGCGAATTCCTGGATGATTTGCCTGTGCCTCGGAGACATTTTCGCTACACCTTGTCTCCATGGTGACCTCCATCAGAGCTCGGCATGACGGGGAGAGGGTGTAGAGAACCTCAATCGATGAGAGCAGGCCTGAAGCCGCGGGCCACATGCCCGAGTCGGTGACTAATCGACGTCAAGGTGGAGTGGAGTCCGGCTCCCGAGATGCCTGAGATGATCGCAGAGCGGGGTTTTGGACACGAAATCTGCTGACAGCACTGCAAAGTCTCGGACTGTCTTCAAGTCTCTTCTCTTCACCTCTCGGTAGATCTCTGTGGCCCTCGAAGCTTCCACAACCCGACATGGCCCCTGACGGCACCGACGGAAGATCTTCTTTTGCATCCTTTTGGGCTGAGGCAGATGCGGCGGAGCATGAACAAAGATGCTCAAGATCAGAGAAAGCAGGCTGGGGCTCGGTTGGACTTTCAGGCTGCCCCCAATTAAACAGAGGTGGGATCTTGCTGAGTTTCGCAGCCGTCAGTGCTCCAAAACCGCGGAGGATGGAGTTCTGGTGCACACGACAAAATCCGTGCACACCAGGCTGTCTGCTCGGTGGGTCACCAGAGAGCGGCGAGACCCAGGGTTCGGAGCGGAGCGGGAATTTCGAAAGGTTCTGGCCGAATTCCAGCAATGCCGTCACACTGATGAACGACTGTGAAACGCACAGTTTGGAACACGAGGATGATGGTATCGCGAGCCGAGTGAGTAAAGAGCTTTCACTTTCGGAAGGTGTCTTTGTCCCGACCGAGCTTGATTCTCCGCTGGCTACCTCAGAAGCACTGCTAGGGGACATGTGTCCCAATCTGGACGTGAGGTGGATTTGTACAGCGAAGATGTGGACAGCTCCAAGCAGCCAAGCAGCGACCGTGAGAGGAGGGCGAGGAATGTGATCGTGCGAGTGTCCGGCCGTGTGGAACCTGTCGAGCAATGAGCGCAGACTCGCGCAGACCAACGAAAGCTTGCCATCCGTTGGAAGGGCCAGCTGTTCGGGTGCAATTTTGCAAAAATGCCAATAGTGAATGAATAGGGATGCTTTGCACAAGAGGCACACAATGGCGACCTTCATTCGAGGACTGCTTTTCAACGGCAGGCAGTAGTCTGCTATCGTGCCTTGACACATGCTCCTGAGATCCGGAAAGTGGGCGGAGTTCAAGCTTCCAAGCGATGCTCATCTCAAACTGAGGAGGCAGTACGTAATGAGACTTCATTCACCCCCTCTTAGCTTTGGCGTGGCACGTTTGGAGGCCGTCGTGGCAATCAGAACGTCCCACCGTATCCTGTGGCTGAGTCCGCCGGGTTGCCGTTTGCGTCAGCAGCTTGTCGGGCGACTTCTGCAGTCGGAGGGGCCACAGCCAGGGCAGCTGCCCGAGCGATGCGCCCAGGGGCGACACCGCAACTCCGCAACTCCGCAGCGTGCTCTCCGAATCACGACTGTCGAAGTACCACGGACTTCAGGCCGCAAAAGCTTGGGCTCGAGCTACTTTGTGGATCCTGCCGCAGGTTTTCTGCCAGCCTAGCTGCGATCCGACAGGAGAGGAAGCACTTTGTACTGCGTACGACGCAAGAGCATGCAGCTGTCGAGGTACTGCATGAGGGCATGTAAGCCTTCCACAAGCTGGGCTACACTGGAGGCGTTCATGGGGACCTTGCTTGATGCGGACGATGCTGGCGTTGCTGCAGGGGATTTTGCCTGCAACACCAAAATCGTCTGGAACTCGGTCCACATTGACGTGAACTTTTTGAGACGACCAGCCCCGGGTGTGCTCAACTGAAGCACCTACGTTAAACGCACAACAGTTCTGTGGGGATTCGGGTCGTTCGAAAAGGCGCGTGCTTGCATCTGCCGAGAAAGAATGAGTTTACGCCAGTCTCAGGAGAGCCATGCCTATAGATAAGACTAACGCCGGCAGCCTGCGCAGAATGCACCGCTCTGGAATCTTCGCGAGATTTACCTATATCCAGTCGGTCTAGGGGCGAGTCCGCCTTTTTTTAATGGGTGATCAGGTTTTTTCGTGATTGTTCACATGCTCGGCTTCGAGGAGCAGGAGCAGATGGAGAAGTTCAAAGTCGGCCTCAAGAGCGCTGATGGCTTTCGCCAGGCTGATGCGGGATGGCTCAAGCTTGAGAGTCAGAAGAGCTTTGAGGCTCCGAGCTCTGTCAGGCGCTGGCTCATCGCTTCGGTTCCTTGTTAGGAGCCTGGCAAGAGGCAACTCGGCTTCGGAATGCCGTGGCAGACACTGGGGATACACTTCGACTTAGGCACTTGATTATGACGGCAACAACCGTCTGACCTTCGGTGAGCTAGCCCGCCTTGTTTGAGACTAGGGCACTAGGCCACTAGGCTCTTTCTGCTTTCCGTTGTGATCCGCTCTGCACAGCGCTCAATGTCTCCAAGAAGAGCAGAATCATGGGTATCGTCGTTTCCTTCGACTGCTTGTGTGACGGCGTGCTTTGGTCGATGCAGGTTTTGCCTCGCGCTGAACCGGCTGGGCATGCACGGGGAAGTCAGGACCGCATGCTGAGCCTCGTTGTAGGCTTCCGTACTCTTCGCACCTGAGTTCTGCCAGGAGGCTCTGGTGCGAGATCACCAAGAGCGCTGACGAGTCCGGCTTCCTGGTCTTCAGGTGCAGAGACGCGGTCGCTGCTCTCTTGTAGAATGGCTTTTGTGGACTGGCAGGGATCTCGACCCGCAGACAGATGCTATGCTGTCGGAGTTGCGGGAAAAGCTGACCCAGGACCACGAGCACAAACTGTGCCCACGGGGGCCTGCTGTGCAGTTGTCGCGGCTTCCTAGGGTCAACGTCAGCTTGCTTGATCTTTTGGCCGAGACTGAGGAGTACGGGAACATGCTCTTGGCTTGGATCAAGGGCCTTGACACACGAGCCTGGTGCTGAGCGAAATTTGCACAAACGTAGCGGTGGGTTTGAGGAAGCTTTATTCATCTCGCGCACGATCGAGGGGACCGGGCTGGTCACAGAGAAGCAGTTCGTGCAGTGCTGTCGGAAGATAGGACGCCCCCGGAAGGGTGGGCCAACACCTAGAATCGAAAGCAGTATCGAATCTCAAGCACTCCCAATAGCATGAAGGATTCAGCGGGAATGCCAGAGAACTCTTCAAGAGAATGCAGCCAGATGCAGGCAAGGTGCCTCGACCGGTGGTGGGTATTACCACACGTCCCCGGTCAGCTAGCAATGTTCATGCCGTTTATGCTTGACGCAGGCAGAACCCTGATGACACTCAGGGACTTCGACACGAAGGCATTTCATGCTCTCAGCCTGTGACCCAGAGACGCTGCTCCTTTCTTCGTGAGTCAGTGAGACGACCAAGGCCGTGGCGACTTTCGCATGCTCAGCGAGCCATCTCAAGGCTTGGAAGCGCAAGGAAGGTGAAAGAGCTCTGAGATCCCCGGCAGCTGTGCAGGGCACCACGGAAAGTCGCCCTTGGAGCTCACTTTCCACCAGCGCAATGAGGCGTTGCAGCTGGGGATTCTCGTTGACGTACTGGAGTCTCCTGTTCACGTAGGCCGGCTTCTTCTACCAGATCCGAAGGGCAGCAGACGCTTCACGCAGGCAATGCTCAATACTGTGGTGCTATGGATGCAGCATTCGGTCCTGCTTCCAGAGTTCTGTCCGTCCACGGGCGCACGTGTGAAAGGCCCGTGAAAGATCTGCTTGTCAGGAAAGAGTTTGCGAAAGCCTGCCGAGTGGCACACCCGCCTGTGGCCCAGAGATGAGGTTTAGAGACTGCACGTCGGCTTCGAAGCTCCCAGGTCGGCATACAGCATCAACACCATTGAGGACTTTCAGGATCTTTGCAGTCGCAGCCGCCCCAGACGGCAGGCTAGTGACTTCACTACTCTCCAAATCTGTGCACAGGAAAGTACGGATCCCTCATAGCAGCATGGCGGCAGTGCCTCGACGAGCATGGCAACGGCAAGTTTGAGACCCAGCTTCACGTGCACCGGCCTCCATGTCCAGAAGCAATGGCAGCAGCTCTTAATCTGTGGAGCTTGCTCAAGGAAGCGTGTGTTGCGAACTCATGGCCGTGCTCTTCAGCAACATGTGAAGCAACATGTGAAGCAACATGTGAAGCAACGTGTGAAGCAACGTGTGTGTTCCCGAGGAGAGAATGAGAGAATGGCAGTGCAGACATTTACTGGTCTTGAAATGTCTTGAAGCCAGCCTCGTGCATTGCAGAACCAGTCGATGTTCAGTAGCAAAATGCAAAAGGCGGCTGCTGTCGCCTTTCGTTGCCTCAAGCCGGCACATGGGCCGAAGTGACACTGGAGAGGCGAACGAGGGCGCTTCTCTTAGGGCCGGCAAGACGGCAGTAGCAGGTGGGGGAATCGGAAGATGCCACCTCATCCTCATGTCTGGCCCAGTCACAATGTGCCGATCCTCTTTGCGCCAGGGCAGAAAGTTGGAGCAGGGTTAGCGGATGAGGAGGAGTGGGCATCCACAGCCGTCGAGGCATGCTAGTACTTGGTCTTGTGGGGTTTCACGTCAACGTGTTTTTTCTTTGAAGCTTCCTGATCTTGAGGAAGATGAGGAAGACTCGCTGCTTTCAGCGCCCACGCCGGAGCCACCAAAGGAGAGTGGCCCAAAGGCCTGATGAGCACTGAGATCGCAGGCTCGGTCTGCTGGCCGCGATTCCTTCAGGAGCCCTCCCTCTGTGGGCTTCCGATGAAGTGGCTCTCGTTGATTTCCTTGACGTCTCTCGGAACTGCAGCTGGAGGGGGGCGCGTTCTAGGAAGATACCTGGACCAAGATCGAGCTGACTGAGGTTTCAAACCACCGGCCAAGCTCTGCTCATCAAGTGGGCGGACGCACAGGGGCAAAAGGAGCGGCTGTGGTGCCGCGATGGATAGTAGATGCATTCAGTCAGGCCCAGCTTTCACATATTGAGGAGTACTTGCCCAGCACGGTGGTTTTCTGGACCGAAGTGGTGAAGCTGTTTACCAGCCTCGTCCTGGTGTTGTATGAGAGCGGAGCCTTCGGCTGAGCTGGTTCATGGTTTCGGAGCTGCGGTTTGAAGGGTATGGTGCATGGCAGCGTGGGGCAAAGCCTGCACAAATCTGTCGCAGAAACTACAAAAGCCGGAGGACTGGCTCCGGGAACCGGCAATTCGCATTGCAGATGCTGCAGCCATAAGATGATAGCATGTCGTGCGATATGAAGTTGGTGGCGAGAACGGAACCCCGCCGATCTTGGCACACCAGTTGCTCAGCTTTGGTCCCTGAAATGGTTTGACCTGTCTGCCAGCCTCTCTCATGCTTAGGTGACTCCACCAAAGGCTTTCGTAGCATCACCGACCCTTGGCTCGCAGAACTGGATGATAGCGGGTTGCAGCGGTTGCAGCCACAAGAGCCCCTTCGCTGCTTCTTCCGGCCACCTTTGAGTTGACCTGGTGACCCTGAGGAGCACTTCACCCAGGCGCCGACAGAATTGGCCAAGGCGGCGGTCACTCGCCTTGATGTGACAGACTGCCGTGACCTGATAGCTTAGTACGGTTGTCACGCTGTCGAGCTGAAGACGTAATGCCATAGCTCCATGCAAAAGTTGCTGTGGAGCTTTCCTCACCTTTGGTCAGTTTGTTGAGATATTTGCCATCATGGTCAATTCTGAACTGTGCTCTCGATGGTCCGTGGGCTAGTAAACAGCAGTCCTGCATACACTCCATTCTGTTGAACCCTAAGCCCCAAGCTGGCTGTCGGTCTGCATTTCTGACTTAGGTGCCATCGCTGGTATACACTTTTCAGCCTCTAGGCGCAACGTCTTGCAGTCCGCTGCTTTTTGCATCAGAACATATCAAAGCGGCCCCTTGCCAGTTCGATCACGTGCTTCATGAGCCCCGGGCTGTCTCAGGAACAACCTCATGTTCTACAGCCTCACAAAGCTGAGCGCACCCGTCCAGCAAGTGTTGTACCAGATGAAGATCATTACTACAGCAGGCCGGTCTGCGCTGACATGAGGATTGAGGGCCGCCGTGTTTTCCGTGCCGTGTGCCGCCGTGATAATCTGCAGCACAGTTTGGGATGTGAGGGTCCATGTTGGTAGCTGTGACAGTGTGAAGCTCTAATTACTGTAGCACTATGCGACTGGCGAACTTGAAACAAACAAGCGTTTAGCGTTGCAGCGGTAAGCAACTGTGCGGCAGATCAGTTGAACTGATGGCACGCTTCAAAACGATCTCGTTTTGGGGTTTCGGTGAATTTTGTCGTTTGGGATAGCACAAGGATCGAGGTCTACGGATCACTCATCATTGGCAAAGCTCTGCAGCACCTGACACGAGCCCGCAAGGCCTGGGCGTCTTGATGTTGGGAAAGAGTCCCGTTGCAGCAACTAGAGGGACTTGTGCCTGTTCTTGTGCTGCAAGTGCCTGGGCCTGAGGCCTGGGCCCCGTGAAGTGGAGTGCATGCTTCCTCCTCGCCTTCGGGATCATGGTGGTGCAGGCCATGCCAAGAGATGATCGGGGCTTGCCTTGAGCAGACTGACTCATGTGTGCTGGAGGTCAGTCGGAACGCGCAGAAGGGCGACGTCCTGGGCTGGAACTGGCAGAGCCTCGAGAGTGACCAGATGAAAGGCACCTGGATGCGTTTTACGGACTGAGTGGCAAGTGCGAACGGAACAGTGCAGGGAAAATTTGGCAGTCGCTCCTGTGCACCATGCGAACCATGCGTGCTTGCGAAGTCGCGTCGAGAGCGAAGTAGCCTCGCTCTCATACTACGTGACCACTCGTGGGCCTGGAAGGGAACGTCATTGAACACTTCCGACGCAGAGACGGAAGGATAACGAGGGGGTTTCCCAATCTCTTTTGGGATTTTGTTGGGAACTACTAGTCAAGTGGCAACATTCATGCATCTCTTTGCCTTCCTTAGTCTTTTTTTCGGGGGTTGAGCTGCCACGTCGAACACCGGCTCGCGGATGGGGAACGTTTACGGACTGCACACTGCACACAGAGACGAGGCTTTGCAGCGGTGCTGTGTGCATGCCTGACCAGCGGCTTTGCTGGGGTTTGGATCCAGAAGCCTGGTGGAATTATGATCTGAGTCTTCAGCTTATAGGCCCCACTGGTAGGTTCTTGCACCACGGAAAGCAGGGCTTTGAACCCATCGGGCTGACGAGGAAGATGCTTCAGCAGACGCAGGCCTCGGAAACTTGGCCCAAGGACTTGGAGCTCAAGTTCGCGTCATTCCGTTGGTGGAGATTCCTCAAGAGCATGATTTCTACCTGTAAGTGATTCACAGACAATGTTCACCGCATGCTGTCCTCTGCAATGATGATGCCCTGAGTGCCCTTTAAACCTCGTGTTTCTAAGATCTGGATGCGGAACATCCAGCTCGGCCTTTTCGGCGCCTGTAGCAGCCTCCTGGTGGCTGCTTCTTGGATACGACTAGTCTGTGGTCCATGGAGGCCCACGAGTCGGAAGTTCATGGGCGCAGAGCTGCAGGTTGCTCAGGATGGCGAGGTCATCGCGAACAGTGGATTCAACTCAGGATGCTTCTCTGAGAGCGCTCCTGCTGCTTGCTGCTGTGGAAAGAGATGCAGGATACAACCTCCGCGTCCTGCTGGTCATTGCCATGAATGCCTTTGGTGGGCTCCTGTGTGCCGTGATGTTGAAGTACGCAGGACTGGCATCACAGGGGCCTTGGGCACCGGTAGTTCTGCTCCTCAGAAAGCCTCATGGCTAGATCCGACAGTGTTCGTGGCGTTGTTTCGTCAAGCAAGAAATGATTATCTCGCTGTGCTTCGTATCCGCTCATTTTGAAAAGTGGAACCGGCAACAGGCAATGCAGGTTCGCCGAACTGCATTGAACTGAGATGGCTGGTAGCCAAAATGCCATTGTCGTCCGCGAAAGGCATGCATTCATGCCTCAGGAGCAACGCACGGGTGCTTCAGCACGGCTCTTTCCATCATCCTCACGTGCTTCATGCGCTGAGCTCGTCTTCTTCGGAAACTGTGTTCGTTCGCCAGGGAAAAAGTTCTGTTGCTGCACCCAGCAAAGTATCAATCAGCCGAGGTCGTCCCTCCTGCTACAGGACTTTACCCCAGACTTGTTGTTCATGGTTGGGACAGCGATCTCCGTTGGGGCATCGTTCCTTTTCGCTTTGGGTCTGCCTTCTTGGTGTGGCGCATTGTGAGCATGCCAAGCATGCTCAGACGGAGATGTAAATGATTCCTGCTCCGGAAACCTTCGGAGACATAGATGCAGAGTGGACAAAGTGCCCTCAAGCATTGCTGGCCTTCAATGGTGGCCGCATGTAGGCAGAAAAGAGAGAAGCCGTGCCGTCTGTCAATCTTGTTCAGCAAATCTTGATGTGTACTTGCGACAACAGCCGTTGGATGCGAGGTTGGCATTTGGTGAGTTCTGCGATGCCCTGCGTCGCAGGGTGCTCAGTAGTGAGAACACAGTGGCTTCGACAGGGAATTAGCGCCTGTGCGGACAAAAGCTTATCCGGCACGCACACACCTGCATGACCCACATTGTTGAGTCTTTCAAGGTCGCTGCCAAGAGTCTGTTCTGTTCCGAGATGGAGCAATGAATGACAGTATGTGACAACCCGTGTGCCAGCCTCCGGCATCCTTCCGACGCTTGGGTCACCTAGTGTGTTTTTGGGATAAACCCGGAACTTAAAAAGGCTGGTGTGAGTGGAAGCTCGCTTCGGCGTACCCAATAAGCAGTGCAGGAAATTGCGCTCCGTAGTTTGCATTCGGCCAGTCTCCGGACCCCAGGAAAAGTGATCTCGGCACACCTGATGTAGAAGGTTTCACCTCAATATCCCACCGTAGGCGTCCGCAGCCGCTCTTGAATGGATGATTTAGATGCTACTTAACTGTTTGTAGGACAGAAAGCCCTGTCTTTAACTGTGCAAAAGGAGATACCTGACATTTTCTAATCTGCCATCTCAGGGACCCTTTGGTTTTACAGGTACATGGTGCTGATCATGTCACGGTGACATGCATTGTGTCGTTCTGGGAGTGACGCTAGCATCTTCCGGCATAAGTCATCAGAGACTTTTGAAGCCTTGTAGGGACATCCTCGAAGCTGGATTGAGGTCTTGGGTATGCCGGAGAGTTCAGATCGCTCTTCAAGGAGTACGACAAGGAACAGAAAGGCTGCCTTGTCCGCAGGGGATTGGCAAGTTACAGCGCTTTACTACTTTTTCTGGCCCTGTCGCTCTTCGTAAGACTGCACAGGGTGGTCTCACAGTTTGCTGAGCTCAGACAAGGGCCCCACAATGCACATATTGCAATTGCATGAAATTTCGCACTCTCTTCAGCACCCGCCAGCATGAACCCTAGCAGTTCTGGCCTGAGCACAGCCTGCGCCGCTCTACTTGAGGCTACATTTGTCTTGCCGACCTGGACCCAGAAGCAGACGTCCTCGTGCTTTGCCTGGGGATGGACTTCGGCTTCGGGCAGCGGATAGGGATTTTTCGAGTCTTTTTGTGAGGTCTCCGACTTCCTGGACCTGCTCGGGGAGCGCTTCGGCACTCTGGATTTGGCCTGGCGGGAGCTCGAAGGGTGTTGAAGCTTTGGTAAGCTTTGGCCACTTTGTCCCTCTGCTCTCTTGGCGCGAGGATGGTTTTCACCAGGATCCACACGGGAGCATCACGAAGAAGGACGTCATCGAGGAGATCCTGCATTCTAGCCGAAGCCAAGTCCAAGCTGAGGTACCTAACCTTCTCATACTGACTCCTCGCGATGAGTGATTTTCTGGTGATTTCTGGATCTTCGGGAATTCTTGCCCCAAGCAGACGGCGCTGTAAAAGTTAGAAGTGCTCGCGAGGCATGTGCAGCATTGGGCTACGCGCACGACGCAGAGAAGCTTTACAGATGCCTGCGGCGACCTGAGGTTGTGGAGCTGGTCGTGCTTGCAGCCTCTTGACGGATCTGCGACGATATGGCCTCATTGGCTTTCCCAGGCAGACATCTCCAGGAAAGCAGCTCATTACCATTTGGGACATCGATCCAGTCTGCAGCCGGAGCCTCGACAGAAAGGTGCCTCGCAACAGGCCGAGGTTACCTGACACGACGCCACCGTACCCGTATCCATTGCATCCCATTTTGGAATGCTTCGACGCATCCAGGCCGATCGCGCAAGCGAGGGCTCGAGGTGCGAGCCCAAGTTCCCGGAACCTGTGTCCACGAGCTTTTCTACACCTGCCGAGGCTATCATCCCAAGCGACTCCGGCGAAGTCTTGGGGCTTTCGGGGGGGTTTTCTTCGGTCAAGCTGATGCGCGAGGTGAGGACCGAGTAAACTGACGATACTACGGATGGGTTTACAGCTTGGACTCCGTTGAAGGAAGGGCTGGAAACCACGTCGCCAGGTGCACCAAGGCCCTTGAGCCCCACTGCACGGGGCAATGAAGCTCACACCTTCTTCCTGGAGGCGGGTTGCCGGCCCATGTGCCGATGCGTGCCCGTTGCCGCAATGAGAGGACGGCTCACCATCTTCCAGGACAAGGTGCAACACATCTGCACAAATGCGGCGATCTGAACACTTTGCAAGCTTGTTTCCAACCAATAACTGCAGCGATTCCAATCCTTATCTTGCCGCTGTGCCGAATCGGAATCGCAGGAACGTAATGAGCAAGACCTTCCACACCTTCAACAGCACGCCCCTCAACTCTTGCCCAGGAATGGGGGGGGGGGGGGCGGTTACTCGTGCTGGACGTTCCAAGGCCCTCCTTTGGTGCAGCAGCTTCGGCGATGTCTGCGTGCACGATGGGGGTCTACGGTGCGACCGCGGCAAGATTGAAAAACATAGTGACCAGTGATACTGCCGCAGCACATGAAGTGCAGGTATCTGGCTGGAGGTTGTCCTTGGATCCGCAGCTCCACGCTCCCGCCCCAGCCACATATCTCGCGAGATTTTTGTCATTTGCTGGACTCGGATGGCAGCCAGGGCAATTGTGGCTTCGGGATGTTCATGAAGGCGCTGGAGGACGGAGATTGATCGAGAGTGATGGCCGCAGCATCTCCAGTCATGGATCCACGCCTTCAGCTTGCGATGTGGATGCAGTGATGCCAGTCTTCAGAACCTGTCTACAGGAGTGTGCCTTTGGAGGGAAGCCGCGAGCACTTTGGGATGAGCTCAGTTGACCCCTCAGTCTGCGAGTCCACTGACGTAGACTCGCCACGAGGGATCCAGGCTCAGTCACCTGTAGTCCTGAAACACTCGCAGAAAGCGCGGGAACCCTAAACCCCAGAGTTCAGTCCCCTAAAGAACTGAGCCCGAAGCAAAAGCCCTCAACGATTAGATTTCTTTGCGGGGGCTCCACCTCTCAGGTGGGGAGAAGAACTTTATCACTTACATGGATCTCGACGAGCCAGCAGCCAGGCACCAGGGAAGCTTGCACATAGGGTCCAACTGTCAGCAATCCCTAAGTTCGCAAGAGCTGGAGCTTGGTATTCCAGAGCTCGGCGGTTCTAGCTGCCAGTCTTTGTTAGCTTTTTGCTTCGGCTCAGCCTCTTGGACTCCTTCCGCGAGCAAGTTGTCGACCGCCATGGGTCCATCATGGATGCTTCGGGCTGAGATCCGTTTGGACCTCCCAAGCCTCGAAGCAGACGCCTCGCTGCAGAGGCCTGGCACGAGCTGGAATCTGCAGGACGAGGTCTGTTGGATGAGGTGCGAACAAGTGCTGCCTAGTACTTTCATGAGGAAGTACAACAGCCTCATCTAAAAAGCCTTTCGAGGAGACTTTTGTCAGTGTCCTGACGGAGATGGGCATCACCATCAAGCACCCCAGGAAGCTGTTCAAGGCCTCTTGCAGAGTCAGAGAGCTTAACGGCCCAGTGACAGCACACCTTGACACATCATGGCCACATGCTGGCACATGCTCGTTTTTGTTTGCGTGTTCCGCATCTTTGCCGTGCTTCTGCATTTGCACGTGAAATCTGCAAGTCTGACAGACGCAGTCGAAGCGGAAGCAGAGGGTGACCGAGGATGATACGGAGTGTGACGATTCGGACGCTGATGACGATGCCCGTAGTGCTGATGATGGGCACAATAGTCAGGCTGATGACGGAAATAACAATGACAATGACGGATCATGACCATGACCATGATGATGATGATGATGATGACCATGAGTCATGATCCTGAACATCATCGTACTGGAAGTAAGCTAGTGCAAGTGCAACCCAGACTAGCGGAGCGATGTGTTTATCTTGCAAAGCCAGTCCCATCGCCCGAGTCTACATATGCAAAGCCTGACCGTCGCAGTTGCTGCTATCACGACAAGGGCAGCGGTCTTTGGCGAAGGAGGCATTGAAGTAGTAGCAGCCTTCACATGCCTGTGAACATGTCATGTGGGAAAGACTCAGAAATTGGTTTGCAGTATTCCCCACCCTTCGATCAGTGAATTGCAAAGATCAGATCTCATTCCGTTGCTCGACGCAGGGCTTCCAGGCACTGCTGGTCGGTGTGGTGCCGACGGAGCAGCGCGACCTCTGGGTTTCGCGCAAGCCAAGGCACAAGTGTAGGAATGCTTAAGTAAGCAAAATGGCTCGAGCACTGTGGCAGACGTGGTAGTTGCCGAGAGCATTTTAGGTTGAGGGCATGCCGTGCTTCGTTGCCAGGAAGGAATCCACGCCGAAGGGCCAAGCCTCCCCGAAGAGGAAGGCTCCTTCGTCTCGCCCAGCTCTAATCGGAGAGCTGAGAGCTGGTGCTGGTACTCGAAGCAGGTGTCGCCTTCGAAGGCAGGGGCCACGAGGCCTCTCTCTGACAGAGGGCCCTGATGAGGGCTTCTCGAGTTCCTGGTCAGGCTGGCCAAACCAGCCCCCACAGCTGAGATCGTCGAGGAGGCTCGCAAGATCTCGCAAGGACGTGTGACGGATTCTGTACATGCGCGTATTCGCCTCGAGTCGTCATGCGTCACGGATAGCTTGCACAGTGTTGGATTTCCTCGATCTTGATCTTGTTCTTGCCATCTGGCTCACGGCTCTCCTTTCCCACGGTCTTGTAGTTTGTAGTGGATGTACGTCGAGTCTGTCTTGGGTGCATGAAGTGCAGTTGGTGCATTGGCTCCTCATGATGTAGGTCATGCGGGTATTACCTCAGCTTGTTTCTGGCTTCGACCAAGACTGCACAGAATTCCACTCCGTGACTCGTGCCTTGTGCACGCCGGTGGCCTCAGGCGAAGTCTCCGTCTGCCGAGTTGGACCGACCCCAAGCACAGCCTTCCAGGCCTCCGTCTGCATCCGCTGCTAGCAACCAGCCTCTTCTTTGGGGTGTTGAGTTCACATCTCCTTTTGGGGTTTAGGGTTTGGCTAGTAACATCTCTTTTTGGGGTTTTGGGTTTCTCGCCCAATATCTCCTCGTAGGGCTTTGAGATTAGGCTTCCGTAAGCAACATCATCTTGTAGGGTTTAGGTTTCGTCAGTAGCATCGTTTAGGGTTTACTGAGTTTACTGTAGGGTTTCTCAAATCAAGAACATCTCTTACTAGGGCTTTCTCCTCTCGGGTTTGGATTGAGTCCCCTTTTGGGTTCCTGGGCTTCTCAACCAGCATTCCATCGAGGGAATTTTGGGTTCAGCAACCAACATCTCCTTTCACGGTTTTGGGTTTCTCAATCAACAGATCCTTGTAGGGTTTAGGGGTTCTCAATCAACACAGCCTTTAGGGTGTTGGGTTGCTCAACCAAGATCACCATTTCGGGTATTTGGGTTTCAGCAGCCAACGTCTATCACTTTAGTCACTTTAGGGTTTTGCTCCTGGATTTCCCGACCAACATCTCCTTTTAGGGTTGTGGGTTTCCCAATTTAAACATTTCCTTTTAGGATTAAAAGTTTTGGAGGTTGCAACCAACATCTCCGTTTCAGTGTTCTGGGCTTTGCAAGCACCATCCCTTGTCTGGGTGGAGGGTTTTGCAACCAATGTCTCTTTGTCGGGTTGTGCGTTCGGCAACCGACTTCTCAAATGCTCTTTAGGGTTTCGGAAATTGAGCCAACATCTGCTTTGTCGGGTTCTTGGTTTTGCACGCAACATCTCCTCTTGGGGATTTGGGAGCGGCAGCATCAGTTTATGCAAACCTCAAAGCACCAGCAACGAAAGGCAAGTCACGACAGTAGCCCAAACTGCAATTCCATGCTTGCACGGACAGGATTGGGCCGATAAACATCCGCATGGTTGCCCACGTCCATGTCGTCTTTATCGCAGAAAGAATTAGCAGCAACAGCAGCAGTCACAGTTGCTCCGGCTGCTTCGGGTTTAAGTGTCAAGCTGGATTTGGTTGAGGAATCGACCGGTGAGCAAAGAACTTCATTCAGCGCCTGTGTGCCAGGAGCGAGCGGAGCGACTTGAAGGCTGGGGTGCTTAACCGCTGAGTGGGAACGGGTCGACGTGCATATGTTCGCTCTACCTCACGAATTTGGCCACAAGATTGCTGCAAGGTGAAGGTCGTGCCTCCAGTGGGCCAGCCGAAGGCTTGACGCGTTCATGTGATGCTAGGCCATGAGGGCTCGGAGTTCGGAGGGAAGCGAGCATTGGACCGCTGGGTTCGGTAGTGCCCAGAAGAGGATACTTGGAACCAACAGGCACACGACGTGGAAGCAGCCGAACCGGAAGCGCGAGAGACAGCCCGGATCTCACGGAAACTCAGGCCGCAGGTGATGTGCTAACTGCTGCCGCCTTTCTGGAACATTCTTGACCGTGTTCAGATAGACTGATAGACGTTTGGAAAGCTTGCACCTAGATGGAATTTGGGAGCGAGCGGAGCATGTGGCAGCCTCTAAGGCCCATTCGGTTGCCAGTCGGGCTGTCAGCTCGACTGTCAGCAGAGTGGCTGCCGTCCCAGCTTCCAAAAGCCACCGCAGAACTGTACAAAATTGCAAAGCGGACGCGAGAACAGGCCGCGAAACTTGCTTCGGAAGAGACGGAGGAGGTACGACGGACATGCTCAAGGAATGGCCCACGTTTCAGTCTGAAAGGGTCTTGAGCAGACGAGCTGAAACGGATTCGAACCGATCCCATATCGAGACTGCCGCTTGTGTCCAAATTTTGCCAGCTGAGAGCAAGCATTTGGCGAGGCCCCGCGTGCGAAAGTCTTGGACAGCGCTGCCCGGAAGAAGGCCATCGGTGGACTCCTGAAGGCCCGTTGACTGGGAGGGAGCCAAGCGCAGGCGGTACGACTGTTTGCATCTCTCTTAGTCGCACGAGGCGGCCAAGACCGGACACCTGGAGAAGTCACTGCGCCAATTCGAGGAGAAGGAGGCCACAGCTGCAGCGAAGGCGCAATCGGCAGAGGGCGCATGCAAGTGCGTCAGAGTGGTCTGTGGAAGGAGCTGCCAAAGACGCTGGAAGAGCTGCGGAGGCCCCTTGGGTCTTTGGGTTGAGGAATGATTCAGCATGGCCGAGTCGAGCTAGAGAATATGTTGTATAGGTATTTGCTCGAGAAGTACGGATCCCTCGAGGCAGCCTGGAGACGAGGTCGCAAAGCTCGGGCCGTCTCAGATGTGACTCAGAGAGTAGAACTGAATCCTGTTTGCTTGGCTCAAGCCGGTTTCAAGTTCCACCCTGCATTTTCGGCCCTTGTGGAGAGCTGACCCAAGCTCAGACTCCCAACCACACTCGCAACAGACCACCCCCGCAAGCAAAAACTGAGAAGCATGGTTTCCCCAACGTCTCTTGGACTCTTGGCTTTGTGTCACTTGCCATGGGAACTCCCTCTCTCGATGGCATTGCGCTGAGGCAGGCTGTGTGTGGCAAGCTCGTTGGCACAAGTCGGTGCTTTTGTGTGCAATCTGCCGTTGCTTGAAGGGAGCCGCCTTGTACAAGCTGCCACAGAGGACAGGCTTTTCTCCAGAGCTTGCTGTGTCAGGGATAGTGAAAACACATTAACGCGTCTTGGGCCCAAAAGGCGCAGACGATGCCGGTCCGTCCCGTGTGTGGCCGAATGCCATCTTTGACGAGGAGTCTTCTTTTGGTGGGCCCCTGTGCTTGAGCAGCCCTGATAATGCGCCAAGCCTACACAGTCTGGTGCATCCGATCTCTTGAAGTCCTGGCTACACTGAAACTCACACACTCAGATCTTCTTTGTAGAAGCCTGCACCCAAAGCGTGTTAGTTGAATTCCAAGCCTTGATGAGAGTCCTGTAAGGCTGTCTGAGCTGCCTATGATCGCGAAGGGCCGGTTGGCAAAGTCTGTGCCAGTCAGCCCTCGGCCCCTGGGTTCATCCAAGAGAGTCCAGAGTCCTGAACTTCGGAGCTTTGAGTTGACCTGCTGACAGGGTGCCCAGGGTGCAATCCAACACACTACCTGCCAATGCCAAGGATGCAGCGTCGTTCTGCAGCAATGCTTCCCGAAGGCTGCCCACGGCGTCCTTGCAGTGCTTCAGTGGGAGATATAAGCTAACTTCCACGGACTTCAGCTCGAAATGACTGTGCCATACGGTCCGAGTTGAGACGTTAAGATTCCCAAGGCCCAAGACCGAAGAGTGTGACTTCGGGGGAACCTTCGGTGATTTGACGAGCTGGGGAGAATTGATGCAAGTTTACAACGCACGAGCGTTGATCATCGCATATGTCATATTGTGCTACACATAGACATAGTTCACTCGGTGACAAGGCCCCGCCCCACACGCATAACTTCAACCTCCTCGAAGCAGCTCCAGAGCCTTCAGGGTCGTGCAAGACTACCGCCTTGTGTCTCGGCTGGACGAAGAGAGTGCTGCCTTGTGTCCCCCATGAGCAGAAGGCCTATATCTGCCTTTCTCGTCCTGGGGCCGGGGAGCGCTCCACCAGAAAACATCTCGCACGGAATGGCCGTTGCCTTGCCTTCCGAGGCGGCTGCGAAATCTCGCCGGCAAGGCCAAGTGGGAGAGTCTAAATCGGGGAACTTCCTAGAAATCATCGACTCTCTCCCTACGTGAAGGATATGGAGGATATATTGTGTGCCCTCTTACCAGGTCTTACTCGAGACCCAGCTGGGCATCTCACCTGCAAACCATGGCACAATTTCTGGCACTCCAGAACTAGGCCGACAGTTCACACTGTAGAGGAATCTGGAAAGCTTCTTGCCACATGTTTTGGCAGGTGCGTTGCGTAAGAGCTTTGGAGCAGAGGATGTCTCAGCCCTTTCTCTTCTGGACTTAGGCTCCTGGCATGTAATGACGCTGCCGCTCAAGTATTTCATCTGTGGTCGACGCCACCTTAGCTTTTGCAAGTCATGCAACCAAGCCTGGTGCTTGCGCAACTTCGTTCTTCCGCATAGGAGCGTTTCAGACCCGAGAGCCGAGCCAAGACTTGGCTCACAACGGGCCGGCCTTAAACCAACATGCCCCTGGCCACTGCGCTTGTCAAAGTTCGTTCGAAGGATGCAAGACTTCCCAAACATATGATGCCGAGTGTTCTGGAAATTATTGGGTCTTACGACAATTGTCACGAGCCAACGAAACACAATCGGTCATGGTGGCAAGGACTGCATTTGAAGCACAGCGATGTAGACGTCATCTTTGAAGATCATGTCCTCGGCCTGGAAGACAAGCTGAGAAGCCTGGCAGCATCGGAGTTCATCATGTAGGAGTTCAGCAGCACTGCTTTGATTTGGTGGAGTCTCAGGGTATCCCCTCAGAAACCTAAGGTAAGCTGGTGATGCGGATCCCGCCTGACGGCATCGAGCTTTTGCTAATACGGTGACCTGCCAAAGCGTCAGCCAGCAAAGTCTTTGTACGTCTCGGAAGACTCTGTTTTGCCCTGTCTTTTCAAACAGTTTTGACGCATGCAAGTCATGCAATGAGATGGGTTTCCCCGATCGGCTAGCGGTGTCTTGAAGCTGGATGCGGAGATGCTCCAAAGGCGATCCGGCACAGACAGCGACGAGTATCCGTATGAGGAGGGCGGTCTCATGATGATGTACTCCGACGAGTTTGAAGACAACCTTTTGGAGCACATAGGACACCCCTGGGACTTCAAAGTTGTCCTGCTTGTTAGTCTCGGATTTGAAGGGTCAAAGTCTGGGCTTAGAGGTCGCATGCTGGCACTGAGTACTCTTAGGTGGGGAAGTAGATCCGTGTTGCACCACCCTGCTACAGGAAAGGAACACTGGATCCGAGGTCATTCGGAGAGCCCCTGTCTAGCCGGGTTGATGTCATGCTCGGAACTACAGATGGGCAGCGAACCTTATACGCGGTGTGCCTCAGCTTTCCCCTGGCAGGATACCCACCCCTCGTGCGACGGGGTGTGAGGCCGGCCGAAAGCAGTCAGAGTCAGAGAGAGAGCTCCGAGAGAGGCGACTGGAAGTGCTTTCTCAGCTTCGGCTCCAGGATCAGCCTGCGCAGGGAATTGGGCAGCGCTGCAGACTAGAGGCTGGGAGATCATGGCCTCTGTCAGTCAGAAGTCAAAAGAAAAGTGATTTCTTACATACTACGGGGTTACTGCATCGCATATCACGAAAGCTAGCTTCCGGGCCTATCTGAGCTCCTTATCAACCGAGGGTTGCACCAAAAGGTGTGGGCCAGGGTCTCCTGCAGGTACTGTGAACGGTGGAAGTCTGAACCGGGCAATGTTTTTAAGAGCAGACACTCGGGGACAAAAGTAATGGAAAGCGTTACCTTTCCGCGTTCAAGGCAGTTTATTAACACCTATCTGTCGGATCTATTTTCATACTTCGCATATACTCAGTACTGCCGACAGGGAAAGTCGATGCGTTCTAC